AAATTAAAATAAAATAAATTACGTATGTAATACGTATGCAATATAAATAAAGTATAAAATACTCAGGGCTGACTAATATTAATATGATAAAATATACTTAAAACATTGGCTGACGAAGCTGCCCCTGCTCAGAATTCAGAATTGTTTTTCGTATTCTGCAATGATGTATCATTGAATTCAAATTTTCCTATTTTAAAAATTATTAAAAACTTCTTTGAACTTTTGTGGATTAATACATTGAAAATGATGGTGAAGTGAGCAGTTGATGGTCAGACTTGATTTTGAAGTAAAAACATTCGAAGTTTATAGTTTTTGCTTCAGGAACAGTTTAAATGATTAACTTCGGGTTACACAGTCCCAGATAGATGTGGCCTAGTGGGGATCGATATTCCGTGCATCCTCAGCACTTAGGGCCGGGAACGATTCTCACGGCAGTTCTATATATTTTTTGCACTTTTTTTTCGTTTTTATTTGGTTCAAATTGCCAGATTTTTCATTTTACTATTACATTTGAACATTGAGTTCCAGTTTTAATAACTCTATATAAATCCATAGATTTTTATTTTTATTTTTTTTTGTTCTAACCTTGCCGGGTTATAGATGATATCTTAGAAGAATTAAGTTAGAATTAGCTTATAAACATAACCGTTTAAACCTAACTATAAACAGTTAATATCTGCTATATAACTATAATAGTTTAAATTATTAGACTTTTGTGTAAGCATAAATTTTAAATTAAGGAAATTCCTATTTACTATAATGTTACATGAGTAGTGACAAAACAAAAAAAATAATTAAGGAAATAGTTTTAACTACAGTTATATAGGTAATCATGATATCTATGTAAAACATACTGTTGGATGCAAATACACAAGGTGTGCCTAACCAACGGTCCACAGGTCATTTAGACCTATGCTGAATAATAAACAGCCGACCGGTTCACAGATGTGTGCGCGCAGCCCGCCGCTCTCGGTTGTTATGCCGACGACAGCGTCGTCGATCGTGGTTGTGCGTGTATGTTATGCCGTGTCGCTAGCTGCACATACATATTGTTGTACATACACATATTGTTCCGTCGGAATTGTGTTTATCATACGTTACTATACATTTTAAACTCCATCACGCACAACCAGTCCACTGATCTGTGCTATACAGTCGCATAGTAAGACTTACTTTACGGACTAGTCGAAGGTGTCAAAGGATACTGGGTGTCGACGTCGTCGATTCTTATTGCCGAGTCAACCAGCTGCCACCTTCATTATTCCTTACCAGTGCAGCTCATCGCCGTCATAATCCAGGTCATGTGAGTAGGCTATACCCGGTCTTATTTTATTCTATTTGTCCTTTTATTGTAAAATCATTAGTATTATTATTCATTTTGATTCAGTAGCGCATAACGCCTTGTTTATTATTATTACGTACTTGAATTATTTATTTATCATATTGGTCATATTCATTATATTATGTTAGTTAGTATGATTAGTTTATAGCGCCGAGCGTCGCTTAATATTTATTTATTATTATTATTATGTATTCCCCTGTTAATTGTGTGTTACGTCTTTTGCGTTAATTCATTATATAGCTGATCACGCTGTTATTAAGAATTGTTCTTGCTTTTCTTATTTTTTTGAACCTGACAATATACATTTATGTAAACAAAACGAAGTCAACTTCCCTGCCTTGGCTTAGGGTTTGGTTCGTTACATTTGTTCAACACAATTCCGACGGAACAATATGTGTATGTGCAACAATATGCTTGTGCAGCTAGCGACATGGCACAACATACACGCACAACCACGATCGATGACGCTGTCGTTGGCGTAACGACCAAGAGCGGCGGGCGGCGCTCACACATCCGTGAACCGGTCGGCTGTTTATAATTCAGCATAGGTCTAAATGACCTGTGGACCATTGATTAGGCACACCTTGTGTATTTGCATCCAACACATACAGTTATTTTTGTTATTGTTTTTGTTGATCGAATAATTGTGATTATTTCTGTCTTTCTAGACGTAGACGACCACGGTTATACTTCCGCTTGCCTTGAAATAAAGATTCGTATATTTGCACTACGAATCCTACAACACCCAGTTTCGTACGTTTTTCAAATTGGTCAACACAAATATTACGGCAAAGATTGTACCAATCCGACACGGTATGTTGACTTTTGCCTGTCCATTTCATAGTTTTAGTTACTTTCATACCATGTGCTCAATACCATACGAGCTCTACAATCTGGCATAAACTTAATCCGTTATTACATTTTCCATTAATATCGACATAGGTGAAAAGTGGATTTTTTTACGAATGGACTGATAAGTTTGACAACCACATGTTTGGCAACTTAAGTATTTTATTTTAATAAATTGCCCATAGGAATCTCGTTTGCGGCTATTTTTATAACATTCCTTGAGAACGCCACCACACAATTCATTGCTAACATTATTGATATTTTCACAAAATTCTTGTTTAGGTTTTGTTTTAAAAAATGTACACAAGTATCATCAGTATAAATAATATGTCTATATAAATCACCAATTGAAGTCATTTTGAATACAATACAAATGACAAACACACGCGAATAATTCACAGACACAACTAATCGTTAAAAACCCGTAGGATCTAACTATGTAGAGTGTAGATAAATATTATTACGATTATATAGATATTATATAACATCAGACGATAAATAGTATTTGCAGATAGCATACGACACCAGTATTTATTGCGTAGATAGCATACGACACCGCTACCTAACAAATTTTAAATTTTTAAATTTTTATAACTGAGGATCGAAAATTTAAAAGAACGTTCCGCGTAAGCAGTTTTTAACGTAGGTAAGAAAAAAATATAACTTTTATAGACATTTTAAGTTCAAATTTGGTCAAAATTACATATTAACATGAATAACGTCGATGACTTACAAATAACATTAATTCAACTTACTGGCTATAATGTGTTAATGATAACAATATAAATATAATATAATATAAACCAAGGCTGACAAGCCTCTGCTCAGAATAGTTTTTTGTATACTATATCGTATCGTATATTATATTATATATTTATATCGTTGAATTTAAATTTTATACATTCTACTTCAATAACCCACTTATAAGTTATAACCCACTGTACATCAAAACAGTAATATTGTGAATTGTGATTGTCGCAATTTATTTTCTAAAGTTATAAATTGTCATAGGTAAATTTTATAAGCCAAACACTATCTTTGTCGATTACAACAAATTTTTAAGTTATTCCGGAATATAATTTTCATAGTAATGTACCATCAGAACTTGTAACAACTCGAACATTATGAAAACGGCGAGTTGTGTACTGATGGCCAATTGGCAAAATTAGAGGGTAGACGTACCTATTGTTGACCTCAAGCATACTAGTCAATTGTATCAAAAACTTCATACTCAAATTTGTATGTATGTTCATTGTTTATGATATTGTCTCAAAAAAATGGAATAGTAGGGCAAGAAAAAAAAGGTTTGGAAAAGGAAAACGGTGAATTAGATCTTCAATTTCGTCCAAAAATTTAAGTTATTGCTGATAGGGAATTTAGCAAGCGTTCGTTTAAAATTCATTAGGTACAATGCATTGTCGGGAGTTGTAAGTTTTAGAAATAATTCATGAACAATACCTAGTATGGAATGGACTTCATGTTAAACAAAATTCAAATTAAGTAACAAAATGTTTCATTTATTTTTAATTAATTCATATAACATTTGAAGAAAAATATTAACTCTATATATACCTTTAAGTTCATCAAAAAAAATGTCATAAAAAATTAGTAATTAAAAAAAAGCCCATTCCCTAGAAATAACATTTCAAGAGTTTAGAATAACGAATCGCGAATAAAAGAAAAAATTCCAACGGTGATCGCATACCAGGATGTTTTAGGATATTATTACAAAATAATTTACTGAGACTTAGATATACTGTTACTGAAGCTATAAGGTTAAAAAAAATGAAACAGGATCTATTTCTTATTAGGTACGATGAAAAATTGGCATGACTAAAAACGGATGTCATAAATGGACCAAATCATGTTTTTGGAAATCATGGCGATTGCTCTCAATATTTCTACCAAGGTAATAAAAAAGGTTAAGTTAAATTAACATTTTTTTTTTTATCGAACATTTTTTTTCAAATTATTTAAATATACTAGAAGTGTCGATAAAAATTTAGAATAGACAAAAAATCTATAAAATTTAATACAGTTATATAAAAATATGTTAAATATTCTAGATTGACAGATCATCTCCGTTCAGAGTCGTTTTTCTTATAATCCCAGACAGCCAAATAAAGTTATTGAAACATTTATGTAAGATTTCAAAAGTAACATATAATGTTACAGAAATGTTTTAATTTAATTACAATAATATTACTGGAATGTTACTATAATGTTAAATATTCATGTTTTGTCCACTTTTTAAATATTAAATTAAATTGAAATTTATAAAATTTTTAAAACATTACAGCAATAATGTTGTAAGAATGTTTCAATATTTGTATTTTATGTTTTATATAACATTTAAATTTATTTGAAGTAATGTTAAGGAAATATTATTTTAAAGTTTTCTTCATATTTTTTTACTTTTACTACTATAACCATAGGCGCCCATTGGGGGGGGGGGAAGATAGGGCACTTGCCCCACCCCCCTAGACAAAAAATATTAAAAACTTGTAGCTTAATAAACATTACCATAATATTATTATTATCTTTATTACCTAACAGTTGAAAATTTTTTTATTTTGATCCCCCTCTAAAATTTTATCTATTGGCGCCCATGATTATAGCTATTACTTTTTGTTTATACTTATTTAGAAACCAAGGGTAACACAATGCAGTTATAAAGCCAATGTTTTAATACAAAAACTCAATTTAATTTTTACTTTACATTTTTAGTAACAAAATGATTAAAACAAAATTATATTTTTATTATATTTTTTAATGTTCATTTAATGAACATTAAAACAATAACTAATCATTAAGTAGTTTTTTCTGCTGCTTTCATTTTGTTTATAATTCTAAATTTTGAATGATTTATCCAATTCGCCAAAGGGTCATTAAATTCTTTGTCAATTTTATCCTTGAACTTCGAGTGAATTCTTAATGCATCTGTAACATATAAAAAAACAGTTTTAGATATTCATACATTGTCATTTTCATTCATTTATAATAAATACCGATTATAAGTTGATAAGCAGGTAATTTTGAAAAATTCTTTTTCTGTTTCTTTCCTTGCAAAGAATAAAATGTGAGAATATCATCAGTAAACATGCGACTAACAAGACGACGTACACTATCCCCAATATCTTTATTTCCTACTAATAAAGATAACTTTGACACCTGTATAAAATACAATAAAACAATAATATTATATTCGTGGTAATATATTTACTCAGTGACAAGGAAAATGAATAATATCATACATATTATACAGTACAAATTATTTATAATTCATCGGTTTATAAGGGAAATTTGATTTTAAATCTTTATTTAATATTCCTTAAATACACTTTAAAGAGGATGTCAAACTTGTATATGTTGTCTCTACAGTTTTACTAACATACAACATAACAAATTTGCGTTTAGCAGAACTCATTTTATGTTGTTAGCTTTAATTTTAGAGTCAATCAACCTGCTATTATCAAACTTAAAGGTAATATATTATCCAGGGCATCTCATGGGCTTTTAATGATATTATTATTATGAATTTAATTAATATAGATTTTGGTTATAAAAATATAATGGCACAAATTCCTTCATTTTTTAAGAGTTCAGATCCAATTATATAACAAATTTCTACTGTATATATGCCTGAAGAATAGATATCAGTTTAATATAAATTTACCGTTGCTAATTTAAACTGTTTATCATGACATATCTTATTATTCAACATTTCCAATTCTTTTTCATTAGTTATTGGAAATACATCATCCAAACTATAACTATCTGCAAAATGAGATGCCAGTTGATTAGCTGTTTTTTGACCAGAATCATTTAAAAATGTATCCATTGCTAGATGTGTTGAATTGATGGTTGAGTGTATTGCAGCTATTTCATTTTTTAATTTAGTTAATGAATTAACAACAAAATTTTTGAAGGCTGTAAAAAAAAATTTAACTATTTATAAATCTATAAATAGCTAATAAAGTTTAACCTAAATCCTAATGAGTATATGTGAAGACTAACTAAATTAAACGCATAACAATATGTTTACCTGAATCAGTCATCCCAAAATCATATTTTTTATTTGTACCAATTCGAGACATGGTAGCTGATCCTATAATCATTAATTATTACATAAATTAAAGTACAATAAATATAAAAAATATTTTAATATAGTTATATACATATTTATTAGTTTTACCTTTCGATCCATCTGAATTTTGTAATGGAAACAAAACCTTTTTTATATTATTTGACATGTTCTGTTCACTCATACTAGTCGAAGGGGTCTGCTGTTGTTGATTTTGTAAAGAAGATTTTATCATTATTCTTTTTCTCGATACATCACTTATTGGGGAATGCAAAATTAACTTTTGTTGTTTTGTGACACTATGATGTACTATTGCAGGATCTGTTGAGAAATATAATTGTATATATTAGTGACTATATACAGTTATTCTTTATTATAATTGAAAATGTAGGAAAATAATAATATTTATGTATACCATCTACTTTTGTAAATTCACAATGGTCCAGAGTTTGGACTTCAAAGGTAGATAACAACTGTGTTGGTGTTTTTTTATGACTGAGCAAAGTGTTAGGTTTCATTTCATCTAGAACTAAATTAATAATTGATCATTATACAAAATGTATATAATATAAATAAATTTAAAATCATTGTTTACTTATATCAGAATCAGAGTTATTCATTATATTTGGTTCATTTTTTTCAAACACACGTTTTTTTGATTGAGTATCAGCTTGTTTCATTATACCTACAGAATTATAATATTATTTTATTCATTAATAGGTATAAGTACTTTACTCTTAATATAGTATCAATAATATTAACACATGCTACCTTGATTCAAAGGTTGGGAATAGTCAGAGTCAGAATCATTGCCAAAATTTTCAATATCTGAACCATAATGGTCAATTTTGTCAAACACACGTTTTTTTGATTGAGTATCAGTTTTTTTCATTTTACCTACAGCATTTTTATTTATTAATTATAGGTACTACTATTCTTATAATAGTATATCAACAATATTAATACATGCCATCTATAATGAGAGGTTGGGAATAGTCAGGATCATCATCGGAATTATCAATATCTGAATCATCATGATCAATTTTGTCAAACACACGTTTTTTTAATTGAGTATCAGTTTTTTTCATTTTACCTACAAAGAAAATTATATTTTATTACTTGTAACTTATAAATATTTTTAAAATTCAACTTAAAACTACTAAAAGTTAGAAAAAAAAATTTACTTGGCTTTAACGAAGGTGGACTTCCAATACATTTGGATTTATTTTGTAAAATTAAATCTTCATCATTTGCGGATAGTTCAGACTGAAACTGGGCAACATTTGTCTTGCTTCGAGCTTCTTCTAGAGTTGCTATATAACCAACAATAATTTAATAAAATAAAATATAAATTTAGATAGGTAGATATTATTAAAGATTATAGATATTTTTCAATTATGTAAATACCATATTTCCTTCCAAGAACCCTTGCAGGATACCACATATAATTATTTTCGTCTGGATAATCTTGTTTTACAATATGTTTTTTAGAATTTTTTGATATGATTGGCCAAGCACATGTTTTATTTTTATTTTTATACCATGTTTCAGGCACTGCTTCTACGGCATTGTCATCAACAAAATGAACAACTACCCACATGATTTAAAATCCAAATAATCTAAATAACATTATTATCAAATAAATATTTTTAAATGATACCTAAATAATTTACAAGTAGTAGCATTTAAAAACCTGACTGATACCAGACCACAAATTAATTACTTAGTATGTACATAAATATTTATATGCTATATAAGTATATAAATTAATGATTAACAATATTTATCTTAAGCTGAATACAATTTAAATTAATACTATTCTAATAAAAATAATAGAATTTTTATTATTTTTCTTAAAATTAAAAATTATAATATTACACAAAATAATAATTAACACATTTTATAACAAAAAAATAGCATTTACAGAATACATATATAACTAGGTAGGTATTTACAAATTACAATGATGTGTGGAGTATTGGCATTGCAACTAATATATTATCTTGTTTAATAATCATTATTTTTTTTTTTATTTCCAAATAGTCCCAGCATTTTATCACATTACTAAGTGCATCAACAGTATAAATATCAAAAATCGAAGAATCCGCAGGATTATCATATAAAGCCATTTTCTTTTCAAATGTTTTTCCAATTAATTTAATACTGCCATTATCTGTTTTTATAATATTCAAACATTGAACAATTTCACTATTATTAGTCATTATGTAACTATTCTTAATAACTGTAGTATCAATTTTAAATTTATCAAACATAATTGTTTTAAACTGTATACCTTTGATATTGTCAACTAATGGTCCATTTTTATGTTTTTTAGTCATAATTGGTAGTACTATTGATACATTTGGTAAAGTCACAGGCAATTCATACATTTCTTTATATCTATTTATTAATTGTTCAAGTGGTTTCTCATGTTTCCTAACTTTACTCTTTAATTCCTTCATAAAATTTTCGAATGGAAACGCACTGCAATTGTCTAGAGGGCCAAAGTTTTCATAGTCATCTGTTAAATGTAAAAGGCAATGGACATTTTGCGAAATATTTTGACGACCATAAATTATTTCAAATGACTTAACAAAGTAATTCAATAATTCTTTAGCATAATTTAAATAACAAGAATAATCAGGACTAATTAATATTATTATTGCCACATGTAAAGCCATAAAGTTTGTATATGAATCTTCAGTAATAATATTTTTAAGCACAATAGGTCCAATATAAAGTATAAAAAATCTTAATTCACTAGCTTTATACCTTCCAAAATCTTGTATTATTCTAGTTTTTCTAGGAAAATCAGAGGGAATGCATGATTTAATGTTCAATAATGAAGTACTTAACGCATTTATCCTACGGCCGGGGATGCGAACTTGTACTGGACCAGTATGCAACCAAAGTAAAATTAATTTTTTTACAACTCCAAGTGCCACTAGATGCATATAATCGAGTGGAAACATTCTAACAATATCTATACCAGGTATTTCTATAAGTCTTGATAGAGTATCTCCAATGTGGTGTTCCTCGTATATTTTTTTTACATATGTTTCATGTGTTCTTTTAAGAGAAAAATTACAATAAGGATAACAGACCCGGTTTTTATAGTATTCGCCTACTTGGATACAACGAGTACATGAAGAAAATCCTGAATGGCCTTTCAATTGTAATATAAATGCTTTAGCAGGACTGTCACAAATAAACCCACTTATTGATACTTTTGTTGTACAATTATTTAAAACAATACCATTTGCTATAAGATTTTTTGTTTCTGAAATAAAATCATCTAGAAAAAGATTACTGTTTTTCGGCTTAGAATAACCATGGTAAATACCAACAGGAAAAACAATTTTAGTTGTATTTTCAATATAAGCTAAAATGGGCCACAATTGACTATTACTGCTTTTTGCAATAGGCAATCCGTCAATACCAATCATAAGTTTTATTTCTGACAAATTATACGAAGATGCATGTCTAATAATTCCTTCTTCTAAGCCAAAATGATAATAATGACCGGGCTCGACCACACGGACGTTTGATATTTTAGTGCGAGGAGTAGATAATAAAGTCCGAGAATCCCATGGCAGCTCATTAGTATTTATAATATCTCGTTGTTTTATCAAATGCAATAATTTATTTATAGTGGTTTGAGGCACATTACATTCGATTACCCATCTACATAAATCATCTTTAAAAGAAGTGTTGTCTGTACTTTCTGACGGAGTTTCTGTAGATATTTGTAACAAATTATCATTGTGATGAACTTCATCAGTTAAATTATTATAAGGTTCATTTGTTTCATTTTTTGAATCAATAGAGGATACTACTTCTCGAGAGAATGAAATATTTTGACTGCAAAGTGTTACTGTTTGAGACAAATCACCTGTGCTGATTGAAGGTGTGTTATAAAAAGTAGTATCGGCTATTTCATCAATTTCTATATTACTGTCATTATTGGAATTTAACATTAGTATAGAATCTAATTCTTTTTTAATTTTCCGTCGTAAAGTTCTTTCAGATTGCATTTTGAATAGTCTATATTATAATAAATAATTGAAAATATACATCTTATTATTTATTTACAGGGCTATTTAGTATTTACTCAATCAAACTAAGAATTAGAAATGAAATTAAACAAAATCTTTTTAAATAAATATATTTATTTAAAAAGATTTTGTTTAATTTCATTTCTAAAAAAACTAAAACTAAAACTATAGTTTTAAACTAATGATTATTTTGAATAGTACTTTAGTAGATAGGTAGGAATTTGTCCTTATTTTTTAGTCTCCATATTTAGTTGAATAACAAATCATAGTATAATATAGTAATTATTAGGTATTATAATATAATATAATTATATTTTATACAATATAACCCTAATTATATTTTTTTTCGTTTATTACTTTATCTATTATTTATGCAAACATTATATGTTAATACCTACTTACTACCTAGTATTTTGCTATAAATCCATAAACATTTACAAATATTTTTAAAATGTTGGAAGTATATACTTATGATAGAAATAAATAATCATTACAATAATTATATAGATACATCTATTAGTATAATTTATATTAAAATAAGAAAAATTAATTCAATGTTACATTAACAGATTAACTTACAATTCTAATGAAATAATTTATTAAATATAATAAACCTAGTATAAATAAGTAATTACTAACGTAAAATAATAGCTTAGGTTAGTATTAGTTCTATAGATACCTACATACCTAACTAGCTAGTTAATATTTTGAAGTACCTGCCTGCATATTCTTTTTCTTGTTAAAAATATAAAATTTACATTTTAGTTTACAACGTATGTGTGTGTGTGGTGTAATTGTATTATAATTATTAATAATATTACAAGCCGGCAACTACAACTAATAATAATAATAATAATCAATGAATAGGTACTTACTTGAACGTCGTAAAAATAGTAGACAGCTATAATACTCAATAGTCAGTCAATACTGCTAAAATACTTAAAAAGTTTACAGTATTATACAATTCGTATTTCATGAGTTAACACTACTCACTACAATTCGTATTTCACGAGTTAACACTAGTCACTACAATTCGTATTTCACGAGTTAATACTAGTCACTACAATTCGTATTTCACGAGTTAACACTAGTCACTACAATTCGTATTTCACCAGTTCACAGTGTTCATACGAAACTTGGTGACAAAATGAGATATAACCAGTACAGTATAGACTAAAAATGAAATATTTTCGTTATCAATCCGTAATAAATAAACGCGTTAACCGCAGCCTGCATACAGTCGCCCGGCGGGTTTTTCTTTTCAGAAAGACATCGGACGATAAAGTTATTTATACTTTTTCAATTAATAAACGGATGGTAACGTATTTATAACCGCCGTGGCCGTACTCTCAGCTGTATTATCACAGAATAGATTAAAATATTATAGCGTATAATAATATAATATATATATATATCGTATTATACTGTAAGTTTGTAAATTAAATGACAACAACTGAACAATAATAATTAGGTATTATTAGAAGTCCGCGACACGAAAACTGCAGATGACCCCCACGACCCGCACACGCACACCGGAAACCCCGCCGATTAGACATAGATTCTATACTA